ACAAGTTTTAGATATGATAGCATATAAGGGTTATGAACCACAATGTAAATGATATGGTGTTAGTGATGCCATTCAGTGTACCTGGATGATTGCTTACTCAGTGTTGTCATCATCATTATTAGAGTTATAGGACTTGGTTACATGAAAACAAGCTACTATCTTTTTTTCTTTTTTTCTTTCAAATGCCATTGTGCTCCGACTCCGTTTATATTCCAACAATCCTTTGTACAGCTTGTAAAGCATGTAGTGTTTTTAATATATATTTTTTAATGATAATGAATTTTTCTTTCTTGTAGTGTTTTTAATATATATTTTTTAATGATAATGAATTTTTCTTTCTTGCAGGTTGGTCTGACGAGCCCTGGATTTATTGGTGCTGATGTTTGCCATCTCAATCTCCATAAAACGTTCTGTATCCCTCACGGTGGAGGTGGGCCTGGGATGGGGCCCATCGGGGTGAAGAAACACCTTGCACCATTTCTGCCATCACATCCCGTGGTATGTAAAAACACTTGCACAGGGGTGATTTTATTTTCTCTGTTTCCTTTTTTTGGATTATGTTCTTTAGCTTCTAAATCTAACAGACGATAAACTTGAAAAAAACACCTGTACTACAGTTGGCTCCATGCACTTTTATCTGAAATAATATTCATTTGAAGTTCATTGTTTTATTTTTTAATTTTTCTAATGTTTCAGGTACCAACCGGAGGTATACCAGCTCCTGATAGCTCCCAGCCGCTTGGTACTATTTCTGCCGCCCCATGGGGATCGGCCCTTATTTTGCCCATATCCTACACTTACATAGCCATGATGGGCTCAAAGGGACTAACAGATGCATCAAAGATAGCCATCTTGAATGCAAACTATATGGCCAAGCGTTTGGAGGTTTATCTTTCTTCTATACAATTTTTTTTTTTTTAGTTATTATGTTTATCATTTCTCATTAACATGTTATGCTTACCTGATCAACAGAAGCATTATCCTGTTCTTTTCCGTGGTGTCAATGGGACAGTGGCCCATGAGTTCATTATAGACTTGCGAGGTTTTAAGGTCCGGCTTGTTGTCATTTATTCATAGTTTTTCCTTTTTCATATATTTTTTTTTTTTTCGTTTTCCTCTTTGAACCATAGTCTCTGCTTACCTCAAGCGGCAATTGCTGTAGACTTCTGCTGGAATCGAGCCTGAGGATGTTGCTAAGCGTCTCATGGACTACGGATTTCATGGGCCGACTATGTCGTGGCCAGTCCCTGGCACACTCATGATTGAACCAACTGAAAGTGAAAGCAAGGTAGAATAAAACACAAAACACAAAAGAATTCATTACATTTATTATCTATAAAGCAAATGAATTAAAGTCACCTCGTTCCATTATTTTCCGTGTTTATATACAGAAATAGATTTTACCGTGTTTATATACAGAAATAGATTTCACGATATCTTTGAAGCAAATGAACTTAATTTACTTCGGTTTATTTTTTTTTACAGGCTGAGTTAGACAGGTTTTGTGATGCTCTCATCTCTATCAGACAGGAAATCGCATTGGTTGAGAAAGGACAAGCCGATATGCATAACAATGTTCTTAAGGTATATCATCTTGTTCTTTCCTTTTTTTTTTTTCTTTCTCATCTGAACAAGATGATGATTTTTTTTCCCCCTCTCGGCATTTTCAGGGAGCTCCACATCCACCATCACTGCTTATGGCCGATGTCTGGTCAAAACCGTACTCACGGGAGTATGCTGCTTACCCTGCCCCATGGCTGAAGACCGCTAAATTTTGGCCGACCACAGGTTCGCGTATATGACATACATACATACATACATTTATATATAATTTCCTCGCAATCTCATTTTCTTTACATTTGCACTTGTTACTCATCACGTTTGGGATTTTGTACTGATAGGGCGTGTGGATAATGTGTATGGTGATCGTAACCTCATCTGCACACTCCTCCCGGTGTCTCAGATGGCAGAGGAGGCAGCTGCCGCCACTGCTTGAGACTCTGGAAAGGTTTTTTCGGTTTTCCCCACAGATGTGAGGACAACAAATGCTACTTAATTTATGATGCATCATCTTCTTGTTGTACATAAAAAAAAAAAAAAAAAAAAAAAAAAAAAAAAGCCAAAATATTTTTATGCTCCATGTACTTTTCAATATATTTTCAGAAATTATCTTCTTGTTTTTTGTTGCTGATTGCAACTTTGGAACGTTGTATATACTATATACTCTCTTTTCCTTCTCATGATTATTATCTTGAAAAGTTTTAGTCTAAATCAACGATTTAAGAGTAGGAGAATCTACTAAAGGACATGGAATCAAGTGGTTATGGGAGTGTATGCAAAATTGCAAACTATCATTTATGGTGGAACTGTAGTATTCCACAACATTAGGATGCACTTAGATATGTCTTAAAGCAATTATTTTTAAGACTTCTTGAAAATTTGTTAGGATTTCTAAAGAAAATAACATATACAAAAATTTCACTTTAAGTTTCATCTCTAGACTAAAGATTTCACAAAATTCTTGTTAAATCTGAAAATTTTGGAAAGTCTCAAATTTCAATAAGTTTTAAAATGTTATTTGAAATTCGAATTAGATATACCTCATAAATAGAGAACGTAGTACTTTTTTTTTTTTTTTT